AGAGTTTGATCAGTGATTTGTAGCTCACATTTGGACATCAATTATGATTAAATTGTTTTCATTGAAATCACAACAAAACCAGGCGTCCGGACAGTCGGGTCAGACCCCCAGAGGACGCAATACCGCCGCACAGATCCGCATCACTAAAGGTATGTCACTGTCTGACAGCGCTGTCATCACATCCACTCATCTCTCTCTCTCCCCATTGGCAGACATTAATGAGTTAACGCTTCCCAAGAACTGTGTGATGGTTCCCGACCCGGAGGGGGATCTCTTGAACTTCAAGATTATCATCTGTCCCGACGAGGTATTCAACGTTCAATATCTTTGTTTTTTTTTCAATTATCTGTCATTTAAATATGAGTTTTGTTTAATTAACACGTTTTGGTCTAATTGTTATCTAATATTTCACTAATTGATTGCAATACTAATTGTAATGGATATTGTAATACACATTAGAGCGTGTATTCAATGACCATCGATGCGATGGCAATGACATTGAATTCAAGCACCTAATGGTCTGAACAATAATAACATGATAATAATGAGTGGTATGTGTTTGTATGGACCCAATAGGGCTTCTATAAGGGCGGAAAGTTCTCGTTTAGTTTCAAAGTATCGCAAAACTATCCGCACGAACCGCCAAAAGTGAAGTGCGAGACCCGTGTCTATCACCCCAACATTGATCTCGAGGGCAACGTTTGTCTCAACATTTTGCGCGAAGACTGGAAGCCAGTGCTGACCATCAACTCAATTGTCTATGGCTTACAGTATCTGTTTCTCGTGAGTATTTATTTTCTTTAGTTGTATATTTTTAGTCAATTTATTTATGAATTTTTAATCATTTTTATTGATTATCGATTATAAAAATGAGTGTTTGTTTTAATGGGAAAAATCAATGCATTAATGTTGATGTGACGGATATTTCAACATTTCAGGCATTTTTTACATGATTTCATTGCAAAAGATAGGGTTATAGTGTTTGTATTCATAAGCTTTTGTGCAATCATTTTGTGTAATACAGTGTTTGATACGAATTTGTTAGTGAGCTGTGAATGGATGCGATTGTATAATGAAATGTTAACCAGTTTTATATTTCTTATGATTGTAATAATAATTATGCATTTATAAAACGAATACATTTCTACATAACATAAATATGAATATATTATGCAAATATAATGACATATGAATTGTTGCAATGAATAGGAGCCCAATCCGGAGGACCCCCTAAACAAAGAGGCGGCGGAAGTGCTGCAAACCAATAGACGTCTATTCGAGTCCAATGTGCGGAAAGCTATGGGCGGCGGA